ACAATTCAAAATCTATTTCTTTCTTCACAGAAGTACTTGGCAGCGTGTTACCTTTCGGATAAAAGTGTTTTTCTAAAAGGTGTCATGTGCACTTTAAGTTAATTTTTATTTTCACTCCTTGCATTTTTTTATTCATTCACGGCTAACTTGCACCCAAAAACCTTTGCGATCGTTTTGAGTTAAAAACTAGTGTCTGAGTGAGTTGCTCTCTCAATGGTTCAAAATCAAAGATGTCGTCTTTTCGTGTGTGAGAAATGGCGCAAAGGTTCTTGGGTGCACGTGACCCTTTAAGTATAAGCTCGCCAATACATTTATATGCTATGTTTCTTAGAACTCCACGAAAGGCACGCTTACCGTCGTTCTTAGCGTAAGAAATGAATTCGACACACAGTCCATTAAATTCGGTTTTTGCCATCCTTTTTCTTGATCACAGAATCGAGTCGCAACACCTGGTAAAATGGAAAATATTCATTGAATAGTCCATATCACAAGGCCGCCATTTTGAAAGGTTTTGCAATGAATCATGGGATATATATCTCCCTTTCTCCATCAAAACAAATCGCTAAAATGGTAAAAACACTAATTAGTTTTTTTTCCACATACAAAATATGTTTGTTTTCATTTTTGTTTGATTTGCCTAGTAAATGGAAATTTTCGATTAACTGTACATTTTTTGGAGGTTTTTCATGCTGTATTTCCTTGCATGTTGATATTTGTTTGTTTTTTCGCTTCTGAGATTAACTAAAATATCAATATTTCCCAATGTTTTTCGAAAACTGAGTCTACGTTACAGAAACCTGGAGCACTGACATCGTTGSTCCCTTGTTTACTCATTTATCAATCCCAAAATGCACTTCGCCCTAAGGCTTTCCGCGGGTTGCGATATGGACTATGAGAAGTGGATTTTTTGGAACGGATTGGGATAGACGAGAATAATATCTTACCAGATGCTCCAAAAGGACACTTCTGCTTCGCCATCTTGTTAAATGCTCCTCTCTTCCACCAAATATCCTCGGCCATCGAGCGAGGACAAGATGTATTGATGACTGAACACAACAAAATGAAAATCAATTATATGTAACACAGAAAAACAGAACAATGAAACATAATTAAACGGTACAACAGTTGAGAACTCTCTCAGACTCCTTTACTGTATATCAGAAAATGCAGCTTTGTCGACAAGAAGGCCTTTATATTACGGACACCTCTACATTACGAACTCCTCTACATTACAAACACCACTATATTACAGACACCTCTGCATTACGAACCCCTTACAATACGTACCTATTTAGGACCTCTATATCACGGGCATTATCTACATCATAGACGTGATATTTGAAAGCTAACTCTTAATTAGGTATTACTTTAGCGAAAGATAGAAGGCTATAGTGCGGCTCCGCTGTCTCATATTTTTATGAACAGTTTGTTTTTTTTTTTCAAGCATCCGTTACAAACAATTGCATGCTTTACTCCGAAGAAGAATCTTAACGTCAGTTAGTTATTTCCCCTACTTTTTACAGTGTTAATTAAAAAAAACTGTTTCTTTAGAAACATGGACACATCTAACACAAGTTTACCGCTAGTTTCGCTCACAGGCAGCCCATTTATAAATTATATTTTGACAAAGATCTTACCAACACAACCCTTGGTTTTCATGATTTCGCTCTGTCTGCCTTYGCATTGGTCACAACGTCTTCCAACCACTTCTGCGCCTGCTGCAGACCCCTTGGTGCATGGACACTGACCACCAACTACTGAACACTGCGGGCTCGTACTGCCAATCGATTCACAGTCGCATTTATAGCACTCTTTACTAAGTCCAAACCCCTCGTATCTTCGGTAGTGAAAGCGCTATTTAAAATAAAGAATAAAAGTGTATTTGAAGTTCTAGTC